ATGACATGAGACAAAGTATATGTGAACTGCTGTATGAAAAGTGAATTTACTCTGTAAATCTTCACCCAAATCCTAATAAAAAAAATAAATAAAAAAGTGAAGGTGGAGGAAGGAGGGTGCTGGGGCTTTGCCCCCAGGATATCACGCCTGAGAGCAGAAAAGCCTGGAGTCATCTGCCTGGGGGATGGTAGACGCCCCACCCTGCTCCTCCTCGGCAGCCCTGGCTTCCTCTATAAGGCTCCTGTCCTGCTCCATGTCTTTGCACTAAATTCCTTGGCCCAGAAGAGCAAAGGTGATAACAGACCCAACCAAGGGGGTCAGCTATGGAGAAGAGGGGTCAGGGCAGGACTTCGGCTTCACTACAAGGCCATCCATTCAGGTAGGAGAAGAGGAGAACAGAGGAAAGACATTCAGTCAACAACTTAAAGGGGCAGAGCAGGAAAGCCTAAGTTCAAGACATCTGCAAGGCAAGAGCTGGCTTTTGGGGGCAGGGTCTTTAAGCAGGTATACCTAAACCAGACCGGCTGCTGTCAAGTTTGTTCGGACTCACAGGGACCTTGTAGGGACTCCAAGGCTGTAAATCTTTATGAGAGGAGCTCTGGCGGCACAATGCCCAAGGCATTTGACTGCTAACCAGAAGGTTGGTGGTTCAAACCCACCAGCTGCTCCACAGAAAGAAGGCTGGGCAATCTACTTCAGTAAAGATTTACCACCTCAGAAACCCAAAGGGTGTCGATTCAATGGCAGTGAGGTTTTCTTTTTTCTTCTGGTTTTAAATCTTTATGGAAGCAAACTGCTATGTCTTTCTTCTGCACTTACTACTATAGACTTAAATTAAGCAAAAACCCCACTGCCTCTGAGTCGATTTTAATTCATAGCGGGACTTTAGAACAGAGTAGAACTGCCCCATAAGGTTTCCAAGGCTGTATAGCCTTATGGAAACAGACTGTTTCATCTTTCTGCTGCAGAGCTGCTGGTGGGTTTGAACTGCCGACCTTTTAGTTAGCAGCCAAATGCTTTAAGCTTGCACCACCAAAGCTTGGCCTAAATTAAACAGAACCCTAAATGTATTTGCTTCTCAAAGCTAACAGTGCATAAAAACCATCTGGAGAGTTAAAGGAAAAGAAAAGATGAAAAGTCCTCACCCCCTAAATCCACTGGTCAGGACCAAGCATCAGTATATATATATTTTAAAGGCAAAGCTTCCAGGTGGTTCTAATGTACCCCCAGGGCGGGAGCGGTCAGGGAATCCCAGGAGACTCACTTTGTCGAGTCCAGGGAAGCAGGGAGCAGTGGGACAACACAGGACACCTCAGCTCTTATGGAGCCTGCAGTGGTGCATGGGAACCGTGTGTGGCCTGGGAACCCAGCTCCAGAAACTTCAGGCACCTGGGTGTTGAGGGGAGCCTTACTTTGTACGTGTTGAGGATCTGCAGAGTGTTCCCAGACGTCAGCTTTAGCTGGATCAGCTCTTGATTCCTTGCTTCGATTGTTTCTAACAACTGAGCATTCTCGATCTTCAACTGCTGAAAATCCACATCGTGGAGGGCCTCGCCCCCCTCTTCCTTCTACAGCTCAGAAAGAAGAAAGCCAGCATGTTGTGCCCGGTTGTGACTTCTGGACATATGGCTCTCACCTTGCAACTCTTGGTAAGTCTCTGGAAGCCAGCTGTCATATAGTCACTCAACAAACATGTACCAGGCAGCTGTCTGGTACAGGCATGGTGCTAGGCACTGCAGACAGAGGTTAGAGTCAATGTGATGCTCCTTGGCCTCAAGGAGCACATGCTCGACCGGGGCTCACAGGCAGGTGGGCAGGTAGCTACTAACAGAGGGATGCGATGGGGTGCGCAGGGGCTGAGGACACACAGAGAGCGATCCCTCACCCAGGTCAGGGGAAGACAGAAGACTGAGTTGGGGAAGGCTTCTCACAGGAGGTGGTGCCCAAACAGAGCTTTGAAGGAAGACATCTAGGCTGCTGGGCTATTTCAAAGTTATTTTAAACCCAGAAACCCCAGGAAAATCAGCCCATAAATTCCCCTCCTTTGGTCATCTGCACTGCAGGTGTATTGGGTTCCCTTCCAGGTCCCTCTGTGACCTGGGCCCACCTTGCCTTCCCCACCAGGTCACTGCCACCTTATGTTCATGGTATGAATGGCCAAAGCCAGTGGCTGCTGCAGCTTCCCACCCCCATACTCTACCCATGCTGTATCTACCTCTTGAGATGTTTCTTCCTTCCCTTCCCCAAAACAACATGACTCTTTAAGCCCCGATAGGACCCACTGTCTAGCTCCAATGCTGTCAACCTGTTTTCCACACCCTAGGGTAAGCCCTCTCCCCACTCATCTTCTGGAAGCCGTTGGCTCCGTGGCCCTTGTTACTCTGCTTCTGTATAAGTTGACTTTTTCTCACCATCACCACTCCCCAGTCATCTGTAAACTTACAAGAGCAGGACCTTGTAAGTCTGTGAATCAGAGGCTGTTCAGGGTTACAGGTCATCCATTTACTCTCCATCTCAACCTTAAACTCCCTCTCCAGTACACCTGACCTTGCATGAACCGCAGGGTATAGTAAGGCACTCACTCCATCTGAGGGCAGCTCCTCTTCACCTCTAGTTGCTCCTCTGTGGCAACTTTTTTTCTTACCATGAACTCAAACCACCCTCCCTGACACCTCCACCTCTAGCCCTAGCTCTTTTCCCAGGCCCTTCCCAGTCAGTCTGTCCTCCCCGTGGCAGCCCTCAGCATTCTCAGACAAAAGTCATGGCCCACCAAGGCCCTCTTTCTATGGGGCCATCAGTCCCAGGTCCTCCCACCATTCCTACTCCTGACTTGGCTTCTACTCTCCATGCCATTCAGTTCACTCTTCTACGTGAACTCCAGTTTCCAAGTTCTTTCTTCAAGTATGGAGCTCACACTGGGACACAAGATTCCAGATCAGGGCTACTCAGAGCCAAGTAGAGAAGAGCGCCCTTGTCTTGGTTTGAGCACTGTGTTTCTCTGAGTGCAGCCTAGGGCCATAGCATCATCATCATCACTCTAGGTGAGCTGACTTTATCACGTACCTATGACTGAGTCATCTGTACCTATGCAGATATTTGGGGGGACCAAAGTGGAGGATCTTACAGTTGTCCTTGGTCATTTAGTGTTGTACACTGTCTCAGCCTGTTGAGGTCTTTCTGGATCCCAAGTCAACCGAGCAACAGTCCTAGAACATAACTGTGCCTCCCAGGCCACATTCTCCCAATGGGTCAACAAGTATGAAGGGTCTTTTCAATTCAGGCCACCTCTGTCTACAGAAAACCCTGACGTCCCAGCACGGTAACTGTATGAGTTTCCTATTGCAGCTATAACAAATTACCACCAACTTGGTAATTAAAACAATACAAATGTATTATCTTATAGTTCTGGCGTCTGAAATGGGTCTTTGGGCTAAAATCATGGTGTCTGGCCAGGCTGCAATCTTCTGGAGATTCTGGGTGAGAATGTGTCCCCTTGCCATTTCTAGCTTCCAGAGGCTGCCTGCATGTCTGGGCTCATGGCCCCTTCCTCCATCTTCAAAGTGCACCACTTTGCTTTGTCATCATGTCTCCTCCTCTGACTCTGATCCTTCTGCCTCCCTCCAATAAGGATGCTTCTGATGCCAGGGCCCATCTGGATACTCTCCCCATCTCAAAGTCCTTACCTCAGTCACCTCTGCAAAGCCCCTTTCACCACAGTCACAGGTCCCAGGGATGAGGATGTGGGCATCTTTGGGGGCTACAGGGGCATATTCTGTCCACCACAGCAACCTTAAAAGAAAAGAAGAAGGAAAAGCCACATACCTGCCTCAGTTGCAAAAGCATTTTTTTCCTCTGGACTTTAAGAGAAACATTTTTCAAACGCAATTTATCCTTCACATTATCCTTTAAAAAAAAAAAAAAAAAAAGCATAAATTAATCAATTTCTTCCCTGTTGGTTTAAAGAGTTGGCAGGTTTGGGACTGCAGACCAACTTGACCCCTAATATTTAGTCCCTTATGTTCAGGTCATTTTACTTGCATCTGTAGTGGTGTTACTGCAGCATTTGCTCCTGACCAAGGCGCAGAGGGACCTGCGTCTGCCACACGCACATGTTACATTGCTCTTAAATTCCAGATAATCTGGGTGTACTGCGACTGCGGGGCCAAGGTGAGACCAGATAGCAGCTTGAGACCTTTCCTCACAAAATGGTCTAATGATTCTTTGGTCTTTTATTCTCTTGGTCATTTATATAATTTTCACTGCTTATAACATTTAAGGATTAGTAATCCTTTCAAACTGTCTCCATGGTCAAAGCTTGACATGCTATAAAGCCACTGGAAATGAAGAAAAACAAAAAACCCGTTGTCGTTGAGTTGACTCCGACTCCTAGCTGCCCTACAGGACAGTAGAACTGCCTCACAGGGTTTCCTAGGTTGCAGTCTTTACAGGAGCAGACTGCCACATCTTTCTTCCACAGAGCTGCTATTGGATTTGAGCTGCTGACTTTTCTGAGCACTTTAACCACTGAGCTGCCAAGGCATTTTTGGATATGAGGAGAGCCCCCAAAATTCTCCTTCATTGCTAGGCAACGGTTGATCTCCTCATAATAATAAGGGAATCTAAAGAGCATGAAATTTACCTGTCCCACTCTGTGCCCTGATAAGACAGGCCGAGCCAGCCCAACCCCCCACCTTTCTAAGACAATACATCAGATTTTGAAGCAGGCGACAACAAAAAACAGGAAGTTGGCCTGCAATACTATTAATATCTTGTTTGAGTGATCGTAGCCAGATAAACTTGTGTTTTAAACACACACACTTTTTAGGGATATGAAAAATCTGCGCGTGTGGCAACATTCCGGTGCAGGGCACCGAATGGAGTGGGGCTGGTGAACATGGCTTCATCACTCTGGGTCATCATTCTGTGCATTTGTTCTTCCCTCCCACACTAACTCACCCGCCGGCGGTTCATGTCCTCAATATACTTCATCACTTTCTGAGTGGCCAAAATGCTCCCTTTCTTCTTGGAGATGGTTTTCAGAATGTCTTTTTCAAAATCATTCATTGCTCTCTGAACTTCAGCCCATCGGATATCAGCTTCCTCAATAATGGCCTAGGGGAGTCAGCACGGAGAGTGAACAGAGTTCTCAACAATGTCACAGGTATTTCCTCTAAGGAAACCCAAGTTCCCAAGCCTCTTGGTGAAATAAGTCAGTCACAAAAGGACAAATATTATCTGACTTACCTGAAACACCTAGACTAGGCAAGTGTGTAGAGACTGAAGTTTTTTAGTGGTTACCAGGGGTGGGCAGGAGGGAGGTGGAAAAACTTGGAGATGGATAATGGTGATGGTGGAACAACATGGTGAACATAATTAATATCACTGAATTAAAGAGTGTTGAATGGCAAATTTTTACCCCACACACATACCCACATAAAAGTGGCCATACACTGATGATTGTCATATCTAGGTGATGCATACACAAAGGGGAGGGTTCATTGTGTTACCTTCTCTACTTTTGTGTATAGACAGTGCCCAATTACAAACGAATTCTGTTCCTAAGTCTGTCTTTAAGTTGAATTTGTACGTAAGTCAGACAATTAGGTATATTTCATATGTAACATCAGTTAGTCAAAAGTTCATCTTAGTGTGTAGTATATAGTGCACCTTTCTAAGCATACAAAACATTAAAGAAACACTTCCAGATACACTAAAGCATCTTTAACATAATAATAAGTAATAATAATAATGTTTTGGGAGTCTGTTATTATGAACCACTATATGTTTAATATATCCAGCTTGACAGGGGTTGGTTTGTAACTATGGCTTGTACATAAATCAAACGTTCGTAACCTGGGAACTGCTTGTGTTTTTGAAATTTTATACTAGAAACCATTTTAAATTCTCATGAAATCTATACTTTCTGGAGCCACTGAGGCCGGATGAACCCCCAAAATTACTGCCCTAAGAACATCTTTAAACCTTCAACTAGAAATATCCCCAGAGTCTTCTTTATAGCAAACAGTAATTCAGCAGCCCTGAGCAGACATTCTCTTTCAAAGAACTGTATGGGGTCAGATTGAAAACAGCAACCCAAGAGGCCACACAGGAAGCTTGGGGAACAGTGAGTTTGGAACAGTTCAGAAAAGGAGACTGAGAATGGTTGCACAATTGGATTGTACATGTAGAAATTGCTGATTTGGTGTATGTTCTGCTGTGTATATTTTTAACAACAACAAAATAAATTATTTTTAAAAAAACCTTAAAATTTGTTGTCTCCTCAAGCAAGTAATAGGTTCCTTAGAACTAAGCCCTCAATTTGTCTTATCCCACTTGTGTTTCTTCTAGAGCACCAACAATTCCATGAATACAATCTAGGTGCTTCTCAATGAGGTGGAAGTGGGGAGCCCAGGTTGGATGAATGGCCTACAGTGAGAGACTGGTATACCTCGTGATGTTGCAGGTCCCGTTCAGCATTTGCCCTCATGTGCCTTAGCTCTTCCTTGGTGTCTTCCAGCTCCTTTTGTACCAGCTCACATTTTTGCTCAACAGTGAGGCTTATCACACGGTCCAAACCTGCCCGGGCTTTGGATTTCCGCCTGCCTCGTAACTGCAACCCAAGAGAAAGCAAGCCATCTTCAAGTAGGAACTGGTCAAAAAACAGCCCAAGACAGACATCAAAAATGACTACCCGGACCTTCTAGAAATGACCCTGAATGAGGGCTGGAGAGAAGGAACTCAGCGTGAAAGCATTCGGGGCATTAGGCCTGAGGTGATGCTTATTTCACCAGTCATCCTAAAGCCCTGCGCCAAATGCCTCCAAGGCCTGTGTTTGACAATGAACTGAAAATACATGAGGGAAGACTGTCTGCTGGTGGGCGGAGCGTGGCCCGATGCAGACCAGCATTCGAGTCAATCAGAGCTCTGGGCTTCCTAAACTGACGGAAAAGAGAAATTGCATTTCAGGGCACCGTGTCCAGAAAAAAACAAATATAGACGCAAATCTTGGATATTATATGCATTTAAAGAGGTGGCCCAGGGAACTTGTGGCCTGAAGGTAGGTTTATTTGGCCCTCAAAGGCCAAAACCTATACAGTTTTATTTTAGTTTATTTTTTAAATTAAGTGCCCACATTTTTTTGTCTTTTGAATGCATTTTATTGTAATATAATTTATGTACAGTGAAATACACAAAACTAAAGTGACATGGGTCAATGCTTTTTTTTTTTTTTCAGTGTTCCCTCCTCTCCCCTCCCACCCCTGGCAACCAGCAAAGAGAGTTTCCCTCCATATATACACCTTTCCTTGACCCTCCACAACAACAAACTAATACTATATTTGTCCTGTGATTGACTTATTTCACCCAGCATAATGTCCCCCAAGTTCATCCATGTTATGTGGTAGTTTACAGACTCTACATTATTCTTTAGTGCTGCATAGCATTCCATTATGTGTATGTACCATAGTTTGGTCATCCACTCTTCCGCTGATGGGCACGTAGGTTGTTTCCATCTTTTTGCTGTTGTAAATAGTGCTGCGATGAACATGGGTGTGCATATATCTGTTCCTACCCTGGCTCTCACCTCTCTAGGATATATACCTAGTAATGGGATTGCTGGGTCAAATGGTATCTCCAATTTCAGCTTTCTAAGAAATGGCTATACTGCTTTCCACAGTGGTTCTATCACTTCACAGTCCCACCAGCAGTGTATGAGAGTCCCAATCTCTCCACATCCCTGCCAGCATTTGTTATTTTGTCTCGTTGAACCTTACCATCAGTGCTGGGGTGAGACGGTATCTCACTGTTGTTTTGATTTGCATCTCTCTGATGGCCAATGATCGTGAGCATCTCTTCGTGTATTAGCTGGCCACCTGAATATCCTCCTTCGTGAAGTGTCTATTATGTCATCTGCCCATTTTTCAACTGGATTGTTAATTCCTTTGCTGTTGAGGCATTAGAGTTTTCTATAAATCTTAGAGATAAGTCCCTAGCCAGATATGTAATTATTGGCAAATATGAATTTGTTGTTGTCACTTTCGTTATGTACATTTTCTTGGTGTCAATTTCTTTGTTCCATATAATTTTCTATGCTGAGCTCTTTTTGTTTATGAATTGTGTTATTATTTCCTTCATTGCTATTGTTTTAGTTTTTGCTAAATATTTGTGCTGATCCTCTTTTTTATTTTGATGTGAAGGTTTGTCATTTTTCTTTGATGTTACCCTGTGATTTATAGTTTTCTTCCCAAGTTTAGAACAGTCTGTTCTATCTTGTAGTTGTCTTGACTTCCCTACCATCTAGAAGTTCTGTAATGACACAGCTTTTTCCCTCTTTTTGGTTTGTAGTTGTCCTCATTTGTAGGTTGGTGTCTTTGGTTCCCTGTTTACAATCTTGTAGGCTTATTTACTTTGGATACTTCCATAGCTGGGTTGGTTTCTGGGTTATATTGTCATGTGTGTTAATGGTCATTTGTTGTTGGCTGTTGTTGCTTCTCTGTCCAAAGGGCTCCCTTTAGCATCTCTTGTAAGGTTGGTCTGGTTTTAACAAATTCCCTTAATGTCTGCTTATCTGGAAATGTCCTAATTTCACCATCATATTTGAGGGACAATTTTGCTGGGTACATGATTCTTGGTTGGAAATTTTTCTCTTTCAGGGTTTTATATATACCATCCCATTGTCTTCTCGCCTGCATAGTTTCTGTGAAGAAATCGAGCTTAGTCTTATTGGTTGCCCCTTGTAGATAACTTTTCATTTTTCCTGTGTTGCTTTCAGGATTCTTTCTCTGTCTTTGGTTTTGGTGAGTTTGATGATATGTCTGGGTGATTTTCTTTTGGGATCTATCCTGTTTGGGGTTTGTTGGACTTCCTGAATGAATATATTCTCATCTTTCATCATACCAGGAAAATTCTCTTCCAACAAATCTTTGACAGTTTGCTCTGTGGTTTTATTTGTCTTTCTGTTCTAGAATTCTGATTACATGTAGGTTGTTCCTTTTGATGGTATACCACATGAAGCTTAGGCTTTCTTCATTTTGTTTTGATCTTTTTTTCTGATTGATCCCTTTCCAAAGAAGTATTGAGGTATTTGCCTTCAATCTCACTAATTCTGTCCTACATTGCATCAGTTCTACTCCTTTGCCTGTTCAATGTCTTATCTATTTCTGAAAATTTAGTATTAATCTGCATTTCTATGTGTAGATTTTGTATCATTTCCAATTTTTCATTTATTTTGTCATTTTGTTCTTGTATTGTCTTTTGAAATTGTTCTAGGGTTTTCTCTGTGTTTTCCTTGATCTGTCTCTCAATTCATTGAAGATACCTAAGTATAATTCTTTTGAATTCCTTATCAGGGAGTTCCAACGCTGCATCTTCTTCAGGGATGTGTTTTGGGTCTGTATCCTCGTCCCTTGTTTCTCCTGTTTTATCTTGCTTCTTTGAGTGGACTGTGATGCTCTGCTGTCTCTGAGGCATTGTGACATTTTTGTGTTTATATTGAATTGGTGATTGTATGTTGGAGTGGCTTGCCCATGATTTTCATTTTCTTTGTTTTGTTTGTATGTTATCTACGCAAGCAGCATACTGTGCTGTGCTCCTCTATTCACTAGCTGACAGCACTTGTACACTCACTACCTGTCTCCTTTCCTGTTGTCAGCTTCTCGTATGTCCCTGCCGACCAAGGCACACAAAGTCTAGTCTTAGGTCCCCGGAATCCGAATGAGAATGCTATCCCTTTAAAATCCAAAATGCCTGCCCCTTGTAAAGATTCAAAATGGCTGCGCCCTTGGTCACTTTAAATATCCAAAATGGCTGTGGCGTGTGAACAATCAAAATGGCTGTGCCCTCCGGATGGCGGAAAGTCAACAGCTCAGGTTGCCTCCCCCCTTGCTGTTTCCCTTCCTAGTCATAGGCCACCAGCACAGTCGTCCCTGCAGCCCTTGGTGACCAGGGCTGATCTTTAGGTCAATTCTCAGGTCCCAACACCACTTGGAAATATTCAGGCTGTTGGTCCCGTCAGGGTAGCTGACAGTCCACAGTTCTGACCATCTCTGTACTCACTGTTTCCGTTCAGGTTTTTCCACTAGTTGGTGCCTAATCCACTTCTGTATAGTTCCTTTCAAAGCTCGGGGCTCCAGGATTATCTTCTGTATCTGTGTCAAGTGGTTTCTCTTTTCTCTGTTGAAGAGGGTCTGTGTCACTTGTCTGCCTAGTCCTCCATCTTAGCGAAAGTCAAGTGCCCACATTTTAAAAATCAGGAAATTCCAGTCCCTTCCCCCTCAGAAAAAAAAAAAATCCAGATTGCCCGTTTCTTTTGAAAGATCTGCTGCTGTGGCAACACCAGGCCTCCTGGCTGAGCCTTTCAGACAAGGGACAAGCTCTCAATGTCCATGTGAGGCCCACTTCACTCCTTCATGTGGCTGCTGGGCCTTGAAAACATTTCAGTTTGAGGGCCCCCATTTCAGGGAATTCTTTTAAACAAACGAACATATTCTGGGAGAGTTGTTCCACTAACTGAACCTGATTCCCCCCACACTCACTTGAAAGAGAAACTGTGGAGGACAAGGAAGAATCCAAAGCCAAACAGGGAATCGGTGTCAGTAAATGGTACATGCGTAAAGGGCTGAACTGCCAAATGTTGTGCTATGTGTATTTTAAACACAATTTAAAAGAGAGAGCAAGAGAAAGAACATCAAGGAGTTTTCAAAGAGAAAAAAAACGGAGTAGAACAGGGAGAGGGGCTTGTGGTCCCTTAACCAAAGAGGCACACTGAGGGCAGACACACAAATACAGTTTGCAGCTAAAGGGGATAAAGGCAGGCTATGGGCTCTGTTGTGTACCTGTGCATACTCGGTGGATGATACTTTAATATCTGATAATCGTGCATGTCGATGATCCCTGGGCTCCAGTCTATTGTAGTATTTCTCAAACATCTCTGTCTCGATTCTGAGAGCAGAGTTTCCATAGCTGCAAGACAGAAGGGACCTAAGTAAGTTCTACTGACACAAGCGTTGAAACACCAGATAACTAGTATCTGGCCCTGGGGATGCAATGGTTAAGCACTCTGTTGGTTGGTGGTTCGAATCTACCAGCCACCCCCTTGAAGAAAAGATCTGGCTATCTGCTCCTGCAAAGATTACAGCCTAGGAAACCCTATGGGGGCAGTTCTACTGTGTCCTATAGGGCTGCTATGAATTGGAATCAACTCAGTGGTGGACAGTAACAACAGCAGTTATTAGACATGCGTGACTACTGACAAGGCACTTAATCCTCTTGGTGCCTTAGTTACCTCATATGTAACATGGGAATAATAACAGAACCACCTAGAGTTGCAATAAGGAATGTAAGGGCTTCAGGACTGTGACTGCCACATAGTAAGTAATATTTAAGTATCTGATGTTTTTATTAATATGTTGATTACAAAAAAAACATTGCTGTAGAGTCAGTTCTGATGCATGACAACCCTGTGTGTTACCAACCCCATGTGTTACGGGGTGGAGCTGTTCCATGGGGTTTTCTTGGCTCTCATCTTTGCGAAGCACACCACCAGGTCTTTCTTCTGTGGTGCCACCGGAGGGGTTTGAACCACAAACCTTTACGTGAGTAGTTATTTGTGTCACCCAAGGGACCTGTAATATGTGTAACAAATCACAAAATTCAGAGTCCCAGGATTATATTGAAAATTATTGCTGCAATGAAGCTATGGTTTCATCTTCCTGTGTCTTCTAGGCCATTTGTGAAATTCCTTCTGAACTACCACGTTCTTGAAGTTACAGACACCCACAGTCTTCAGATGTTTCCCTTGGTTTATGTTTCTCAGCTCTTTTATTTCCAGCACCCAATAGATGAAATGCCCCACAGGAAGTTTATCGTAAACAGTGGAAATGATTGGAACAGACGGTTCTTAACAAACCTAGTTTATTCTGCATATGCTGACATTATGATCTTTTGAACTTCTCACATATATTAAATATATGTTACATGTGCATACATATGTATACATATAAAACACACACATACATATATAGAAGGAGTTCCCAGGTAGCACAGTTTGTGTTCAACTACTAGCTGAAAGATGAGTGGCTCAAGCCCACCCAGAGAGTCCTTAACTACCAGCTGAGCGGTTGGTGGTCTAAGCCCACCAAGGCACCTCGGAAAACGGGCCTGGCGACCTGCTGCTGAAAGGTCACAGCCTTGAAAACCCTGTGGGGCAGCCCTGCTCTGCACCCATGGGGTCGCCAGGAGTTGCAATCAGCTTGGTGGCAACCAACAGAGCAGCAGCAGCAGCAGCATGTGTAAGAGTGAGAGAGAGAGAGAGACAGCCTGGATGTTTTTATACTATAGAGCTCACTCCTGTCTGGCTGAATTTTCACATTAGTGAGAAAGCTAGAAAGCCCAGTAAATCAAAGCATCTTTTTCTCTTCGGTGTATCTCATGTTCCCAGTGAAGGCTAAGAGGTCACAACTGAGTCTGAACCCCAGCAATACCACAGACTGGCTGTGTGACCTTAGGGAAGTGACTTAACCCCCATGGCTTTGTTTTCTTACCCATCTACAAGGGCTACTGTGTCATTAAACATGTTCACAGATACAAAATACTTGGCATAGAATGGCAGCTGTTGGTAAAAGTACTTCAGTTCTGATACAAACTTTTTCCAGGTGTAGAGAAGTAACATCAGTTCAGCTTCCAGAGCCAGGGTATTCTAAGTGAGACCAGTAAGTTGTACCACTTACCTCCCCTACATCATGGAATTTTGATATCCCACCTGCCTGCTTTAGTAGATACAACATAGACTAACTACTAAAGATGCAGACTATTGGCCCAGTCATCCTTGGTTGTCCATCCCATGCTTGCACCGGTGGGTCAGGCACACAGTGGCTTCATAGTAAATCCATCTGGATTGCCTCCTTTCTACCTTGCTGCCATGTTATTTTTAATTACAGAATCTTAGGATGGAAAGGGCAGAGGTCATCAGGTCCTACCTGGCTCCCTGGGCCAAATAAGGGAGCAGTTAAGCACACAGCCTGGCACTAGACAGACTCATTTGGGGTGACGCTGCCTTTACCAATTACCCTCGATGCTTCCCACCACCGCCCCAGCCCCCTCCCGCCTCCCTGTAGTGGCGCCATCAACGGCTTGTTAGCTCGGCGACGGTGGAGGCACAAGGGTGAAGAGGCAAAGACAAGTCTCTGTCCCATTTTGGAAGCCTATTTCCCCAATGTTCAATTCAGACTGGGATCGTCATCATGTGGGACCCCAGTTCCAAGCCCACTCGGGTTGCAGGGCGCTCTGAGGAAGGGCGCCCGCAGAGGTCCGCCGGTGGGTACCTGAGCTCCTCCACCAGCCCGCACAGCTGGATAACCGGCAACTCGTTCTCATCCCCGGCCTGAGACTCGGTGAGGTTGCTCTCGGAGTCATCATCGGTCATCACGCTGCCGAAGTGGCCTTCGCTTGGGCTGACTGCACCCTGGAGCGCCGGGTGCTAGGGGCCGAGCGTCATTCCGGCTGCGACCAGGTGGCGCGTTGCCGGGGCGACAGACGCGTGCAGGGGGAAAGGGGCGGGGCTTTTGGCGCCCAGCCTAGCTCGCTCCCAGGCTAACTGCGTGCAGACCAGAGCTGCCCATAACTATAGACTCCTACCTAAGCAGTTACATTTCCACTTACCCAACAATAAGTTTTAAATTGGTCATAGTAATAGCAGCCACGTTTTACTGAGCATTGACTATGTGCTTAGTATTGTGTTAAGAATGTTGCTCTTAGGTGCCCTGGAGTCCGTTTTGATTCATACCGACCCCATGGACAACAGAAAAAAACATGGCCCAGCCCTGCGCCGTCCTCAAAATTGTTGCCATGCTTGAAACCACCTTCCCAGCCACTGTGTCAGTCCAGCTCCTTGAGGGTCGTTTTTCGCTGTCCCTCAACTTTACCAAGCATGATATCCTTCTCCAGGAATCAGTCCCTTCTGACAACATGACCAAAGTAGGAGAGACCAAGTCTGGTCATTCCCGCTGCTAAGGAGCATTCCAGCTTGTACTTCCTCCAAGACGGATTTGCTTGTCATTCTAGCAGTCCGTGGAACATTCCACATTCTTCGCCAATACCACAGTTGGTAGTACTCTTCAGTCAACTCTTCTGCAGGCTTCCTTATTCATTGTCCAACTTTCACATGCATATGAGGTAATTGAAAACACTATGGCACACCTTAGTCTTGGGTCAGGCACACCTTAGTCTTCAAAGCAACATCTTTGCTTTTTAACACTTTAAAGAGGTCATTTGCCGAAGATTTGCCCAGTGCAATACGATGTCTGATTTCTTGACAGCTGCTTCCAAGTAAAATGAAATATTATGATAAATCTTATTGGTCCAGTGGTGAGGATTTTTATTTTCTTTATGTTGAGATGTAATCCACACTGAAGGCTGTAGTCTCTAATCTTCATCAGTAAGTGCTTCAAGTCCTCTTCTCTTTCAGCAAGCCGAGTTGTGTCATCTGCTTGTCATCAGTTGTGAGAGGTATGCATCAATATTGATGCCACATTCTTCTTCATGTACTCCAGCTTCTCGGATTATTTACTCAGCATACAGATTGGTGCACAACTTTCCTTATTTTAAACCATTCAGTATCCCCTTGTTCTTTTCAAATGACTGCCTCTTGGTGTATGTACAGGTTCCTCATGAGCACAATTAAGTGTTCTGGAACTCTCATTCTTTAAAATGATAAAATCATTAATAATTTGTTCTGACCCACATAGTCAAATGCTTTTGTATAGTCAACAAAACACAGGCAAACCTCTTTCTGGTATGCTTCACTTTTGTGTGACATCAGCAATGATATTCCTCGTACTGTTTTCTTCTGAATCCATCTTGAACTTCTGGCAGTTATCTGGTCAATATATTGCTGCAACCATTTTTGATGACCTGCTGTAAAATTTTAATCACATGTGCTGTTAATGATATTGTTTGATAATGTGTGCTTTCTGTTGCATCACCTTTCTTTGGAATGGGCACAAATATGGATCTCTTCCAGTTGGTCAGCTAGGTAGCTGTCTTCCAAATTTCTTAGCGTAGTTGAGTAAATGCTTCCAGCTTGCATCCGTTTGCTGAAACATCTCAATTGGTGGTCTGTCAGTTCCTGGAGCCTTGTTTTTCACCAATGCTTTCACATGCAGCTTGGACTTCTTCCTTCAATACCATTGGTTCTAGATCATATGCTACCTCCTGAACTGGTTGAATGTCAACCAAGTCTTTTTGGTACAGTGCTTTCTGTATTCTTCCATCTTCTTTTGATGCTTCCTGCATCATTCAATAACTCACCCATAGAATCCTTCAATATTGCAAGTCAAGGCTTGAATTTTTTTCTTCAATTCTTTCAGTTTGAGAAATGGCAAACGTGTTCTTCCATTTTTATTTTCCAACTCCAAGTCTTTGCACATTTCATTATAATACTTTACTTTGTCCTGTTGCAATGCCTTTTGAAATCTTCTATTTGGATCTTTTACTTCATCATTTCTTCCATTCACTTGGAAGCTACTTTCTGTTCAAAAGCAAGTTTCACATTCTCTCTTCTCACATCTATTTTGGTCTTCTCTTCCTTTCCTGTCTTTTTAATGACATTTTGCTTTCTTCATATTGGTATCTTTTGTGCTATCCCACAACTCATCTGGTCTTTGATCATTAGTGATTAATGCATCAAATCTGTTCTTCAGATGGTCTCTAAATTCAGGTGGTTAGTTCTTTATCTGCCCATCATACTTTCAGCATTCTTCGCCAGCACCACAACTCAAAAGCATTGACCCTCCTTCTGTCTTCCTTATTCATTGTCCAGCTCTCACATGCATATGAGGTGATTGAAAATACCATGGCTTGTGTCAGGCACACCTTAGTCCTCGAGGAGACATCTTTGCTCTTCATCACTTGAAAGAGGTCTTTTGCAGCTGATTTGCCCAGTGCTATATATGTCTTCTGATATTTTGACTGCTGCTTCCAGCATGAACAACAGTTGTTTATGTTGTCGAAATAATTTTTTGCAATGAATATATCATTGGTCATTCAAAATTCTATCATGTGATCTCTGGTGTCATTTCTATTACCAAGGCCATATTTTCCAATCACCGATGCTTCTTTGTTTCCAACTTTTGCATACCAATCACCAGTAATTATTAATACATCTTGATTATTGTGTTAAATCCAATTCCAGGCCCAAAGGGTAACTAGGGGCCATAGTCTTAGGTGTTTCACAAGGGAGACTACACATTTTTAGTGACTACTTTGTGCATCTTACAAGGTTACATCAGGCTCAAATGAGACACTAAGAGTATGACACCAAGATGAGCATCCCACCACCGCCTCCATCTGGGAGGAGCCCTCGCCCCAGCTTGCAGTGTTTGTAATAGATTATTACATGAAAAACTGACTCAGCTTGCAAGGATTTAAATTGCCATAATGATAATTGGTGATATATTTCTTAATATATTTATTATAAATTAGGTAATATTCTTATTGCTTAACAAAATCTCTTATAACAATTATTGTTTCAGTTGCTATCTATTGGTGCTAGCTGTGTGCCTAATGCTCTGCTAAGCACATTCTACACATTGTTTCATCTCATCAGCATGGTGGTTCTGTGAGATATAGGTACTTTGTCCCCCATTTCACTCATGAGAAGCCTGACATTCAAAGCAGTTAAGCAACTTGCCCAAGGTCAAGTAGCTATTCAGGAGTGGGACTAAAATGTAAACCCAGGTCTATCTCATGCTGCCCTGTCATCATATCTCCCGTTAGAGTTGTGGCTCTCAGCCAGAGGTGGGAGGGAAATGGGTGCTATTTTTGCCCCCAAGAGACATTTGGCAACGTCTGGAAACTTTTTTGGTTGTCACAGCTTAAGAGAAGGCATCTAGTGGGTAGAACCCTCTACAATGCACGGGACAGCCCACAACAAAGAATTACCAGCCTTGAAATGCCACTAGTGTTGAGCTTGAGAAGCCCTGCTCCAGGAGGAAGAATTTATTTTCTGGGAGACATTGAGCATGTACTTCTGCTAATCCAAATAACTACAAACCAAAAGGCTATCAGAGCAGCTTCAAGTCCAAAGGTCACCCTCTCCCACCACCCACTCCCTCCAATTTTCTAGGACCACTGTGGTAGTTCACTTGGTGTGTCAACTTGGCTGGGCCTGGTTGAGTGGCTGGGCAGCTGGATGTAGTATTCCCCATGAGACTGGTAATCAACTCCATGGTGGAATCTACTAGGAGCAGCTGAGCAGCTGCCTTAGGGATGTGGTCTGCTTCCTGTATATAAGCAGAAGCCTTGGGAATGGTCTCTAGCCTATGGCACGCTTGGACACTGCATGTAGCCATGTCGTTGCTCAGCAGCCTGCTATGCTCTGCTGACCTTGAGACTTACGATGGACTTGAATTAATGGCCTGCTGTGTGGGTTGGTAACATCGGGATTGTGTCTTTTTACTTGTCAACCTTGGGCTTTTCAGCCTCAGCAGCCAGCAGCTGTCTGAGTGAAGAAATGCCTCTAGTGCCAGTGGGCCGGGAGCAGGAGGCAGAGCTAGACCCCAAGGTTGAGGGGCTTTCACCCAGCCCCTAGAGCCTGGTACTTTGAACTTGGACTTAAAGCCTCCAAATTGTAAGAATAAACTCCTGTTTGTTAAGGCCATCCAATTTGTGGTATATTCTTGTCAGAGTGGCACTAGGGAACCAGAACAACCACCTTCTCTTGTGACTCAGTCCTCAGTATCTCCTGTGAGGCATTATTGCCATGCTTTAGAACGATGAAATCTTTTGACTTAAGAACAATGGAATCAATCCATCCAAAGTATCATGCTTCAACCACAAATGAGGCCAAAAGGCAAGATGCTCAAAAATCAGATAAAGGAACTTAGACTCATGGGCAAGTGACTGTTTGTAAGCTATGGAAAAGAGAACAGTGGGTCATCATCTGCTAGCTACCAGAAAGCTTTTTTTCCTTCAACAAGTATTTGTTGAACACCTAATACGTGCTTGGCTATAGCAGTAAACATCAAGGCTGATGGTGTCCCTGCACATGTGGAACTTACATTCTAATACAAACAATTACAACCCAGGGTGATAAGTGCTACAGCAGGCAAAGAACAAGGTGTCCCAGATCCCCAGGGGCCATGGAAATCTTCTTGAATCAAGACATACCTAAGCTGAGATGTGAAGACCATAGGATTCAAATTCAAGTGGGTTAGATATTCTAGCCAAACTCAACTACTATCTTAGATCCCAAGCAGAGGCTAAGGAGGAGTGATATGGAGAGAAACAGAGCTTGTGCAGAGGCCCAGAGTGGAGAAAAGCATGTTTGGGAATTTAAGAGCAAAGTAGGGAAAATTGTTAGTAATATACACCTTCCAGTGGGTTCCTTCCTGTGCTCTGGGAGTTTGCTTCGAACTTCCCTGTCTA